GTTCTGGCCCTCGTGAGTTTCACAGTGGCCTTTTTGGCTAGGAAATTGCCTGACAGCTTTAATGAAGCCAAGTTCATTACTTTCAGCATGCTGGTCTTTTGCAGTGTTTGGATCACTTTCCTCCCCACCTACCTGAGCACCAAAGGGAAGTCCATGGTGGCCGTGGAGATCTTCTCCATCTTGGCCTCTGGGGCTGGTCTCTTGGCTTGCATCTTTTTCCCCAAATGCTACATTATCCTATTTACACCCAATCTGAATTGTAGAGAGAATATAATGAGGCACAAGAATCTCTGATTATAATCTCTGATTATCAATATGAAACATTTATATTGACTTCCAATTGACACACAGGTGACTCCAGCTGGATTAGAACATTAAAAACCAGAACATAAAAACCCATTAAATGCCTCATTCCACACCCACTTATGTAGGGATTGGGAGTATTCATTTTGATTTTGGTTATTTTTCAATTTGATCTCATTTAATCAGAAGTGGGCTTGTCCCTTAAACAATTGGAAATCAAGTGATGTGAGTAATCTCAGAATGTCTGTTAATCTGCAACAATCACCCACTTTTTTCATTAATGCTAGTTGTCCCAAAGATCAACTATAATAAACATTGATATTGTGTATCTGGATATTAGTTTCCAAAATGATAATTTCCCATTTTATTAATTTTAATCAGAAGCATATTTAAGAATATGTTGGGTTTGTTTCACTCTCAGTGTTTTTAAGATTGTTCCCTTCCACTGATGCCTGAGGCTTTGCTGAATTTCCTACTGGATTTTTTCTTTCAATTGACTATTAGAGGGTTTTTTCTTTAATTCTAGCATTTATTGTGAACCATATTGTTTTATTCTCTATTATGTTAATTGAGAAACATACTTTATTAATAAATAAGCTCATGTGAAATTGATATTGATGGATATTTTCCTGCTCCTGCTCTCTTCTTAATATTTTTTCCAAATATTACAAAGAAGGAAGGTGGATGGATGGATGGATGATAAGAAGGAAGGAAGGAAGGAAGGAAGGAAGGAAGGAAGGAAGGAAGGAAGGAGGGAGGGAGGGAGGGAGGGAGGGAGGAGGGAGGAAGGAATGAAGGAAGGAAGGAAGGGTGAAGTTAAATGCAATGTATTGTGAGTAGTAAGAAAGATATGGTTGTGTGATATTCTCTTGCTTATTTAATGAACTTACAGGTAAGAATACAGGACATGCTTAATGGCTGGTTATTTGGGCCAGCAAATGTCTGTTTACTCTTATATACAGTGGACAGTATGGTCTCTGAGAACTCAAATGATTTGCAATAAATGTTCATAGATTTGACATACATCCTCACTATGGGTAAGTATTTGGAAGGTAATATACACAACACCAAGATGGTTATGATTTATAGGGAAATCGATGAACAAAAAGCAAGAAATGGAATGAACAGCTTTAAGGAAGCCCTTGTCAGACAGCTGCACAATCTCTGTGTCCCAGAGACTTTCTGGACCAATTCAGTCTTTATAACAGATGGGAAAATGAAGGGAATAATGATAAGGTCTGCAAATAGATGCTGAAAGAAAGAAATGATTCAACAGAGGGAAAAAGGCTGATGATCAAAATCAGAATAGAAGTGGAAGGGATCTTAAAGTTCTTCTGGTCAAGCCCCCCCCCCCACTTAAGCATGAGATCCTACACCATTTCAGACACATGACTCTCCAGTCTCTTCTTCAAAACCTCCAGTGATGAAGCACCCACAACGTCTGAAGAAAAGCTATTTGATTGGTTAATTGTCCTCACTGTGAGGAAGTTTCTCTTTTTTAAGTTCTATGGGAGAAGTTAGTGTCTAATTTCATCCCCCGACATGTTCGTATTAATAAACCACTTAGTCCATCCAAGTGTTGGTATGATTGCCCAGACTTACTAGGGTACAACTGACGGTCAAGGGCCACCCAGCCCCATGAAGACTTATACTAGTCAAACAAACTATGGAAGGGGCCAAACTCCATGCTCAGTTTCACATAATTCAAATACCCAACTTCACCTTGACTCTCAACTGCATCTGATCTGTAGAATAACAACAAGAGTTCCAAAATCATTTTTCTTTATCTGGTGTATTGCTCAGTACATAGGAAAATTGTTTTTCCTTGTAATTATCAGGAGAATGGTAATTTCTAATGTATCCCCTATGGATTTCTACCCATGAAGATCTTCCGAAAAAACCCCTGCTTTAAATTATATACTCGGAGTTCTCCCGGTGGGGGCAGAACATGTCACCTTGCCTTGTGTTGCAAAGAGGCAACTTCAGCTAGCCTTAGTTTCCTCTTTGGTCACAGACCATACACAGGTAAGAGGAAGCACAGTTGATATAAATTTGACTTGGGGGCCATCCAGGTGGCACAGACTGTTTCTCTTGTGCTAAAGTTCTGCTGAAATTTCAAGGGCTCCCTGCAATTCAACCTCTGCACACACAAAACACCCTTTTGATTTCAGATCCAGGAGGAAAGGTGAGAAGGATGGCTGGGCTGCCTCTCCTCCTCCTCCTGCTGCTTCTCTTCTGGCTCCTGCCTCCAACTTCTGCTAAGAAGATGCAAACTAGGTGTGTGTTGAGAAACTCTGTACACACTACGAGAGACTTTTACAGGCCAGGAGATGTCATTATTGGTGGGAATTTTCCCATGGGAACTATACATAAATTCAACTTTAAATCCTTTAAAAAAGACCCATCTTCATTTCGGGAGGAGATTTTGTAAGTTTCACTTAAAGGGAAAACATGTAAATAATTATTTGGTTTGTTTAAGGATTCTTTTCAGAAATACTTGTTCTAGTGATGTTTGCAATGCCCTAGCGTAGTTCAGATGTTTGTGCTTTTCTCAATAAAGAATCAAACTAATAAAATAGGCAAGAATTCTCAATCTTTCCAGTTCCTTTCAACATCGTCATCAATGACTTGGACGAGGGGATAGATGGGGAACTCATCAAATTTGTAGATGACACCAAGCTGGCAGGAATAGCAAACACTCCAGAAGATAGGCTCAAGATACAGAAGGATCTGGACAGACTTGAACATTGGGCGCTATCTAACAAAATGGAATTCAACAGTGAAAAAAGCAAGGTTCTACATTTAGGCAAGGAAAACGAAATGCACAGGTATCGTATATTTGGAATCTTGCTCAATAGAAGTAACTGTGAGAGGGATCTTGGGTTCCTAGTGGACAATCACATAAATATGAGTCAGAAGTTTGCTGCAGCTGCCAAGAAAGCCAACACAGCTCTAGGCTGCATAAACAGAGGGCTAGAATCAAGATCACATGAAGTTTTAATACTACTTTGTAAGGCCTTGGTAAGGCCACACTTGGAATAGAGCATCCAGTTTTGGTCATCGCAATGTAAAAAAGATGTTGAGACTCTAGAAAGAGTGCAGAGAAGAGCAACAAAGATGATGAGGGGACTGGGGGATGAAACATCTGAAGAACGGTTGCAGGAACTGGGTATGTCTAGTTTGATAAAGAGAAGGACTAAGTTGAGACATGGTAGCAGTGTTCCAATATCTCAGGGGTTGCCCCAAAGAAGAGGGAGTCAAGCTATTCACCAAAGCACCTGAAGGCAGGACAAGAAGCAATGGCTGGAAACTAATCAGGGAGAGAAGCAACCAAGAACTAAGGAGAAATTTCTTGACAGTGAGAACAATTAATCAGTGGAACAACTTGCCTGCAGAAGTTGTGAATGCTCCAACACTGCAAATTTTTAAGAAGATGTTGGATAACCATTTGTCTGAAGTGGTGTAGGGTTTCCTGCCTAAGAAGGGGCTGGACTAGAAGACCTCCAAAGTCCCTTCCAACTCTGTTATTCTATTCTATTTCCAGACTTTCGATCAGGAAGCTAATAAACCACCCCAAAACCTGAGGAAAGTCACCACCTTAGAAAATGTGCTGGCCTAGTGAAGAAGTTGACTTACAGTATTAATCTTGACAGAAACTCCTGATACGAAACTCAAACATCAGGACAAGCCATTTACAGTGCTGAGGAGTTGGAAAAACTCCATCCATTTTGGAATCAGGATTGCTCATAAATGGCCCTTCAGTAAACGTCTGCTGTCACACCTACTGCTCAACAGTGGTTTCCAGACCTGAAGAAGCTCCTTCAAGAGGGGAGAAAATTTATTGGGGTGTAAGAGAAGCAATTGGGGAGAACTATACCCATTTGGATTAGGGAGATAGCAGCTCAGTGGCTAAGATGCTGAGCTTGTCAATTGAAAGTTCGACAGTTTAGGGGTTCAACTCCTTAGTGCCGCGTAATGGGGTGAGCTCCTGTTAGTTGTCCCAGCTTCTGCCAACCTAGCAGATCAAAACCACGTAAAAAATGCAAGTAGAAAAAATAGGGACCACCTTTGGTGAGAAGGTAACAGTGTTCCATGCACCTTTGGCATTTAGTCATGCCAGCCACATGACCATAGAGATGTCGTCAGACAGCAGTGGTTCTTTGGGTTTGAAACAGAGATGAACAACGCCCCCTAGAGTTGGGAATTACTAGCACATATGGGCGAGGGGAACCTTTACCTTTGCTTTATACCCATTGGAGCAATGTGAAGAAGGGAGGGCTAATGGAGGAGTATAAAATGATCTGTGATATGGATAAACAGGATTTTCTCCTTGCTGTCAAGGCCATTAATCAAGGAACAGCATTAATTATGAAAAAACCCAAAGGAATTTGGGAATTCCTCCTACAAAGGACATTTTTAAACATGACACCAGCACATACAAGCTTTCTTTAAAATTTCCCTGATTATTTTCTCACTGTAGAGTCCTACCCAAGAACTACCAGCAGTTCGTAGCTTTGGTATTTGCAGTCACAGAGGTCAACAAGGATCTGGTTCTCCTCCCCAACATCACCCTTGGCTTCCACATCTATAGCAATTCTCAGACTCAGAAGGAGATTTCCTCAAACAGCCTCTCCCTTCTCTCCACAAGAGGCCAAATGGTTCCAGGTTACAAATGTGACAGGCAGGATCCTCTGCTCTCTGTCATCGGAGATCTCAACCCCAGATCCTCAAGGCAGATGGCCTCCACCTTCAGCATCTTCAAGGTCCCACAGGTAAGAGGGCCTCATTGTTTAGAGTATGGGGTAGACAAATAACACATAGTGCAGCTAAAGGTGGAAAAGGGGTTTGGGGGGACCTATATTTATATTTTTTCTGTCGAGATATGTTTTTATAGAAGCCAAAAGTGCTAGATAATGAGATATATTGAAAAGTGGTATTTGCCAAGAGGAATTCCTTCCTAATCTATTCTTCATAAAAGTAGTGTAGTTAGAATATTCTCTGTATTAATTTGACATTTCCTTGGCTTTTGACACAATATCACCAGGCAAAATACATAACCTCTTCTTCCTAATATGTAATCCTTCTTCCTAACAAAGCCAGAAAATTAAGCTTGTCACTCAAAGCGAGCCAGGTGGGGCAATAATCCACATAATGGTGACCCTTAAAATTTACTCTATCAAGAAACTCACTTTCTCCAGCTAGGTGTTGGCTATGAGTTCACTCAGGGAGAGAGAAGAGTTTATCCTTCCTTCTTCTGGATTAATCCCAGTGAATTTGCTCAGTATGTGGGTTTAGTGCAGCTGCTCCTGTATTTCCAATGGAACTGGGTTGGGCTGGTGGCCCCTGAAGATGACAGAGGAGAACGTTTCATCTCAACTCTGACGCCAATGCTCCAGGAGAAGGAGATCTGCCTGGCCTTCACTGAAAAGTTGAAATCAAATTTTCTTAATACTCCAATGTTGAAAATACTGCATATTTCGGAGACTTGGTCTAAAGCTGAAGTGATTGTTCTATTTGGAGACCCCAATAGTATTAAAAATGTACAGGTGGCAATGAGTATCTATGAACATTTGAGAAAGACATCATTTCGGAAAGTTTGGATCTTAACTTCCCATTGGAAACTTAGTGTGATGGGGAATCAAGACATATTGAAAGTAGTAAAGCCCTTCCATGGGGCTTTGCATTTTAGGCCCCACACTGGGGATGTCTCAGAATTCAGTCGTTTCCTCCTGTCTTTAGACCCCTTGAAGCCACAAGGGGACGTCTTTCTCCCTCCATGTTGGGAAAGGTTGTTTGGCTGCATGATGGACAATCCAGGCAGGATCTTTCCAAAGGGGAAGAAACAATGTACAGGAAGGGAGAATTTACAAAATTTACCTTCTTATATTTTTGAAACAAGCATGGAAGGAGAAAGTTACAACATCTACAATGCCATTTATGCTGTGGCACACGCATTACATGCAATGCATGGATCTGGAGAACGACCAATCATAATGAGGCTTGGAAAGAGGATCTCAAATATTCAATCATGGCAGGTAATCCCAGTGACTTTTTATTTGATCCACAGATCAGATAAATGATAGGTATTTGTCTAGGTAGAAAACTACCTCTATGCATTTCTTGATTTACTGATTAAATATCTGTATGTAAAATGTACCTAAGAAGATATTAAGATAGCAATTATGGAAACTTGTCATTTGAATTAAGTATCGGTAAGAGGTTTTTGCTGAAAAGGGATAGATGGCGGAAAAAGAGAATTAAACTAAACTGATTGTTCATAAGAGCAAAGAGCTTCCTAGAAGTTCCTGGAAGGACATCAGTGGTTGCCTGAGAGTGTGCCATTTCTTCTACTGCTTTGTTTGTTGGGTTAAGCTTCTGTCAAGCTCAGCATATGCAGAAGAACCCAACATGGTCCTAATCTGAGTGCATTTGTGAAAGATGCTTCGACAGGTCAGTTGACGTCCTAGTCAGCATGGTAGATCCTCCTCTTTTTTCTCTCAGTAAATAGCCTGAATCCAATCTGTAAAAAGACACTCAGTTCATATTAACGTTGGTTATTGTGTCTTAGAATTATTTGTGAGTCCACTCCATTTTTTTAGTATGCTGTTTCTTGTACTGCCTTGCTTGTTGAGTTAAGTCTCTGTCAACTTCAGCATATGCGGAAGAGATCAATTTGGTCCTACTGGGTTCCTGATCTAAAATTCATCAGACTTTTCAACATCAAAGGCTAAATTATTCCTCTCTAGATAGTGAAGTGATAAACCAGGGCAGGACAAACCTTCTACATGGCCCCCACTTGGTCAGATCTACTTCTTTGAAAGCTAGACTTTCTCTATTTCTAGAGAAATTGTAGCTTGAATTTGTCATTTACAAACTATGGGCCCAAACAAAACTAAAAATGTAGCTTGCCAAGTATCCCAGTGCAAACCTACACAATGAAATTTGGAATATGGCATAAAAATGTTTGTATGTAGCTATCACTCTTCTAAGACTGGAATTGAAGAAGCCATGATACTAATGTCCATTGATAAAGAAAATGTGTTGTCATTCAAGTTGAATATTTGATGTTACTTCTGATTACTTAGATCTCCATCAAGGATCTCATTTAGCTTCTCAGATATAGACCCATCTCCTAGGCTGTTCAGCCAATTAGTCCAGATGTCTTTTTTCCCACCAGATTCTCCCCTATCTGAGGAACATCAAGTTCAACAACAGTGCTGGAGAGGAAGTCTCCTTCTCAGAAAGTGGATTGGTGTCTACTCGTTATGATCTTGTCAACTGGCTTTTCCTCCCCAATCAATCTTTTGTCCCCATGAAAGTTGGGCAAATAGATTCCACAGCTTCCCAAGGACAAGATTTCACCACTAACTCCAATGAAATCATCTGGGTCACAAAGGTGAGCAGGAAGGAAAAGTTGTAAATTCAGCAAAGAATTCATTAACTCCACGGGATGCATAACACCCTTTTAACTGGGGAACTCATTAAATTCAGGGATTTAATGAAAAAAACTGCTTTTCAGTTGAACACGTTTGAGATTTGACTTATAATTCTTTCTTTTAGAAAAAGTTTAGCACCATGTCACAAGCCTTCCTTTGAATTTGAGGTCCCAGTTCCAATCTCCAGCATCCATTAGTGGGTCAGGATTGCATTGGCCTGAATCCCTCTGGAGTTTATCCTAGTTACTGGTAAACCATTTCTTTTGAAGATGTTCTAAAGATGGAAAGAGCAATGTACAAATAAATAAATGAAAAATAATCTTTGCTGAGCCACCTGCAATATCTCTCTTCTCTTTTTTAGAAGGTGCCCTTTGCCAGGTGTGGCATGAAGAGATGCCAGGCAGGAGAGAGGAGAAGCGTTCCAGAGGGCGAGCCAGTTTGCTGCTACCAATGTGACCATTGTCCAGAAGGAACCATTTCTAATCAGACAGGTAGCACATTCAAATGTTCACCTTCCAAGACCAAGAAAAAGTGTTAATTTTGGCATCAGCTTGGTAGGATTTATATGCTTCAATATATTCAAATTTCTTTTCAGCAGACCCTCTCAATTCACGAATCTAAACTTAATTTAAATTTAATACAGGTTGGTGTCAGGGATCCAAGTAATACATACATATCAAACAAAACTTCAAGGCAGGTAGATTCCTCAAAGAATGACTTTATCGGACATATCATATTAGCACAGATCTGGTGAAAACTGACTCTGAAGGTTCCCATGGTTTACACCTAATTAAAAGTTTGTTGCTTTCTCAAAACAATCTTTCACATGGTCCAATCAAGGTGCTGTCTGGTTGCCTGTCGACATCACTCCACCTTCCTCTGACCAAGTGTGAGAATGTCCTTGGTTCCCAAGAGAAAATATTTTGTTTTGGCTATCAAAATCCCAGCTATCTAAAATCCTGCCTCCCTATCCTTCAGCTCCAGCGTGACAACATTGAAGCTCTCGAGGTGGCTTTGGTCAGGTCAGCTTCAGTTGATTTTGGAGCACAATTCATGGGTTCCCTACTAGGCTTTCTACTCCTACTTTTACATCCCATCAGGAAAACCAGACACCAATCTTTTTGTGAACAAATGGGGTGTGAGATTCAAGCTTTATTTTTTATCAAGGACCTGCCTCTTCTATCAGAATACTTGATCTCCCAGACCTGTCTTCAAAGATCTGTCAGAGAGAGAGCAGATCTGTCTACCTATATCTGCTAAACCTTTCCTGTAAATAAAAAAAGTTTGAATGAGTAGATTTGAAGTTTAAAGAAGAGATGTTGAGCCAGAGAACAGATCTGTTTTTTCTGGCTAACCTATTCCCAGCATTGTCAGTATGGACGGATGATTTGCCTTTGTTGATTCACTATGAAATTGACACTGACTTTTGATTTCAGATGCAGCTCACTGTGACCCCTGCCCAGAAAACCAATTTCCCAACAATGAAAAGGACTACTGCATTGCCAAGAAGATCCACTTCCTTTCCTATCAAGACACCCTAGGATACATTTTAGTTTCTCTCGCTCTTTCTCTCTCTGTGATCACATTGGCAGTTCTAGTGATTTTTCGTAAAAATCACAACACACCAATTGTCAAGGCCAACAACAGAGATCTCACCTACCTCCTCCTGGTCTCCCTCCTCTTCTGCTTCCTCTGCTCCTTCCTTTTCATTGGTCAACCTGGGAAGCTCACCTGTCTCTTCCGACAATCTGCCTTTGCCATTCTCTTTTCTCTTGCAGTGTCCTCCGTCTTGGCAAAAACTGTCATGGTGGTTCTGGCCTTCATGGCCACCAAGCCAGGAAACAGGACAAGGAAACTCTTAGGAAAACCTCTGACCAACTCCATTGTCTTAGCCTGTCCCCTGGTCCAAGCAGTTCTTTGTGCCACCTGGCTGGGAACTTCTCCTCCATTTCCCAACTTTGAGTTCCACTCTTTAGTAGGAGAGGCCATCTTGGAATGTAATGAAGGCTCAGCTTTCATGTTTTACACTGTCCTCTCCTACCTGGGTGTTCTGGCCCTCATCAGTTTCACGGTGGCCTTTTTGGCTAGGAAATTGCCTGACAGCTTTAATGAAGCCAAGTTTATTACTTTCAGCATGCTGGTCTTTTGCAGTGTTTGGATCACCTTCCTCCCCACCTACCTGAGCACCAAAGGGAAGTCCATGGTGGCCGTGGAGATCTTCTCCATCTTGGCCTCTGGGGCTGGTCTCTTGGCTTGCATCTTTTTCCCCAAATGCTACATTATCCTATTTAAACCCAATCTGAATTGTAGAGAGAATATAATGAGGCACAAGAATCTCTGATTATAATCTCTGATTATCAATACGAAACATTTATATTGACTTCCAATTGACACATAGGTGACTCCAGCTGGATTAGAACATTAAAAACCAGAACATAAAAACCCATTAAATGCCTCATTCCACACCCACTTATGTAGGGATTGGGAGTATTCATTTTGATCTTGGTTATTTTTCAATTTGATCTCATTTAATCAGAAGTGGGCTTGTCCCTTAAACAATTGGAAATCAAGTGATGTGAGTAATCTCAGAATGTCTGTTAATCTGCAACAATCACCCACTTTTTTCATTAATGCTAGTTGTCCCAAAGATCAACATTATAATAAACATTGATAGTGTATATCTGGATATTAGTTTCCAAAATGATAATTTCCCATTTAATTAATTATAATCAAAAGCATATTTAAGAATATGTTGGGTTTGTTTCACTCTGTGTTTTTCAGCTTGTTCCCTTCCACTGATTCCTGAGGCTTTGCTGAATTTCCTACTGGATTTTTTCTTTCAATTGACTATTAGAGGGTTTTTTCTTTAATTCAAGCACTTATTGTGAACCATATTGTTTTATTCTCTATTATGTTAATTGAGAAACATACGTTATTAATAAATAAGGTCATGTGAAATTGATATTGATGGATATTTTCCTGCTCTTGCTCTCTTCTTAATATTTTTTCCAAATATTACAAAGAAGGAAGGTGGATGGATGGATGGACGATAAGAAGGAAGGAAGGAAGGAAGGAAGGAAGGAAGGAGGGAGGGAGGGAGGGAGGGAGGGAGGGAGGGAGGGAGGGAAGGAAGGGTGAAGTTAAATGCAATGTATTGTGAGTAGTAAGAAAGATATGGTTGTGTGATATTCTCTTGCTTATTTAATGAACTTACAGGTAAGAATACAGGACATGCTTAATGGATGGTTATTTGGGCCTGCAAATGTCTGTTTACTCTTATATACAGTGGACACTGTGGTCTCTGAGAACTCAAATGATTTGCTATAAATGTTCATAGATTTGGTATATATATTCTCACTATGGGTAAGTATTTGGAAGGTAATAAACACAACACCAAGATGGTTATGATTTATGGGGAAATGGAATGAACAAGAAGCAAGAAATGGAACGAACAGCTTTAAGGAAGCCCTTGTCAGACAGCTGCACAATCTCTGTGTCCCAGTGACTGCCTGGACCAATTCAGTCTTTATAACAGATGGGAAAATGAAGGGAACAATGATAAGGTCTGCAAATAGATGCTGAAAGAAAGAAATAATTCAACAGAGGGAAAAAGGCTGATGATCAAAATCAGAATAGAGGTGGAAGGGACCTTAAAGGTCTTCTGGTCCAGCCCCCACACACACACTCAAGCATGAGATCCTACACCATTTCAGAAACATGACTGTCCAGTCTCTTCTTCAAAACCTCCAGAGATGAAGCACCCAAAACGTCTGAAGAAAAGCTGTTCCATTGGTTAATTGTCCTCACTGTGAGGAAGTTTCTCTTTTTTAAGTTCTATGGGAGAAGTTACTGTCTAATTTCATTCCCTGCCATGTTGGTATTTATAAACCACTTAGTCCATCCAAGTGTTGGTATGATTGCCCAGACTTACTAGGGCACAACTGATTGTCAAGGGCCACCATGCCCCATGAAGACTTATACTAGCCAAACAAACTATGGAAGAGGCCAAACTCCTTGCTCAGTTTCACATAATTCAAATATCCAACTTCACCTTGACTCTCAACTGCATCTGATCTGTGGATTAACAACAAATCATTTTTCTTTGTCTGGTGTATTGCTCAGTACATAGGAAAATTGTTTTTCCTTGTAATTATCAGGAGAATGGTAATTTCTAATGTATCCCCTATGGATTTCTACCCATGAAGATCTTCCGACATAAAACCTGCTTTAAATTATATATTCGGAGTTCTCCCGTTGGGAGCAGAACATGTCACCTTGCCTTGTGTTGCAAAGAGGCAACTTCAGGGTTTGGTGAGACTTGTATGGCCTTAGTTTCCTCTTTGGTCACAGACCATACACAGGTAAGAGGAAGCACCGTTGAATATAAATTTACCTTGGGGGCCATTCAGGTGCCACAGACTGTTTCTCTTGTGCTAAAGCTCTGCTGAGATTTCAAGGGCTCCCTGCAATTCAACTTCTGCAAAAATATATATATATAACCTCTTGATTTCTGATCTAGGAGGGAAGGTGAGAAGAATGACTGGGCTGCCTCTCCTCCTCCTGCTGCTGCTCTTCTGGCTCCTGCCTCCAACTATTGCTAAGAAGATGCAAACTGGGTGTGTGTTGACAGACACTTTACAGACTAAGAGAGAGTTTTACAGGCCTGGTGATGTCATTATTGGTGGGAATTTTCCCCTGGGAACTTCACATATATTCAAATTCAAATCCTTTAAAGTAAAACCATCTCTACTTCTGGAGACTATTATGTAAGTTTCACCCAAAGGGGAAAGATGTAAATAATTATTTGGTTTGCTTTGTGTTCAGAGACTCTCTTCCAAAATACTTGTTCTAGTGATGTTTTCAACGCCCTAGCATAGTTCAGATCTTTGTGCTTTTTTTCAAATAAAGAACCAAACTCATAAAATATGGAGACTATGGAGAATTCTCCATCTTTCCAGAACTCTTGATCAGAAAGCTAATAACGCACCAAATAAAGTGAGGAAATTCTGCTGCCTTAGTGAAGAAGTTGACTTTCAATATTAATTTGGACAAATTTCTGATTCAAAATTCAAAGATGGTGTCAATCTGTTTACAGTGTGGACTTGTGGTAAAGAAAATCCATTTGTTTTGGAATCAGGATTGCTCCTAAATAATGGCCTTCGGTAAATGTATGCTGTAGTCTTGTGCTCAACAATGTCCCCACTTATCTGTACTTACTTCATTTCTTTATGTTTATGTAATTACCTGTCCATGCTATGTTGTATATGTTTGAATAAATAAATAAATAAATAAATAAATAAATAAATAAATAAATAAATAAATAATGAAATAGTTTCCAGACCTGAAGAAGCTGCTTCAAGAGGGAAACAAATTAATTATAGTGAAAGAGAAGCGATTGGGAAGGACTACAATCATTGAAACAAAGTGAAGAAGGGAGGGCTGATGGAGGGATATAAAATGATCTGTGATTTGGATAAAGAGGATTTTCTCC